AAAGGTAGCCGGCGAACGGCGCCTTTTCAGCACGCGCATGCGCACAAGGCATTATCTCCCGCGGTCAGCTGGGAGCTGTGCTGCAGTTGTCTCTCCTGTTGACCGGCAGAGGGTGCCCCGCGGTGGCTGGGCGCAGCTGGTGGCAGCCGCAAGAAGCGGCTGGTTGGTCTTACCACCTCCAGCTGGGCAGATGGCACACAGCTGGCTGCCAGCTTGTCCTGGCTGCAGCCAAGTCTCCGCCTCTTGGCAGGAAGCCGAGGAGGCCTGAGTTCAAGCTCGCTGGGTGTCCTTGGGATGGTCCCTGCGCCTCTCTGGGCTTTCTCGATCTGTAAAACTCATGGATTGCAAGCTTGTCTTTGACAATCTTGCCTCCATTTCGGACCCTAGAAGAATTTTCCTCTGTTGTTAGAACCGAAAAAAAAAAAAGAAAAAGAAAAAAGGAAGAAAAATTTTCTGATACTCAGATCTGAACCCCTCCCCTACTCACACACTATCCTTGGCTCTCCATTTCCCCAAGTAAAACCTGCTCAGCCCTTCCATCAGGCATGCAAAACCCTGTACACACACCATCTTACATTTCAGCCACGCCCTCCTCTCTGCCTGGTGTTCCCCTATCCGCCCTTTAAAAATCCTCTCCTCTCCTCCAAGGGCTGAGTAAGGTGTGGCTTATGCCTGTCATTCCAGCATTTTGGGAGGCTGAGGAGGGAGGATCCCTTGGGGCCAGGAGTTTGAGACCAGCCTGGGGACATGGTAGCAACCACATATAGCCTCAAGTACTAGGAAGGTGAGGTGGGAGGATTCCCTGAACCCAGGAGTTCCAGGCTGTAGTGAGCAATGACAGCGCCAATGCACTCCAGCCTGGGCAACGGAGTGAGATCCTTTCTCCAAAAAAAAAAAAAAAAAAAAAAAAAATTGGAGTCCTCTTCTCTCAACCGCTGTCCATTCTTCTGGCCCAGCTGCCTTCCCTTGACTCTCTCCCAAGTTCAGGGGCTCCTCAAGGGCCAGGGGCCTGGGGCTGTATCCCTACAAGTGCCAGCTTGGGGTTGATACAGAGAGGTGCTTGCTAAATGAATAAACTGTATAGTCTCCCAGAAGTGCCCTTAGTGGGCAAGAGTAGGTGTCTGGACGGAATCCAGCTCTGGCAGCAAATTCCAGGGGATGGGAGTGGCCAAGCAGCAAGGAGCATTTAACCCCTCGTCCCCCGAAGTCCATCCTACCTGTAGCATCATTTAGCAAAACATCACCACTACAATAACGCCCATAATATATGGAGCACTTGTTATATGCATGACACTGATGAGTGCTTTACCTGCATAGTAAACTTATGAGAGGATTAATTTCATAAAGAAATAAACAGAGGCTCAGGAACGTGAAGTAACTTGCCCAAGGTCACACCTCAGCAAAGGGCAGAGGCTGGATTTGAGACCTGAGCTCTCCTGAGGGCCTACCGTGGCCCCGCCGGCACCACAGAGCTGGGATGCCTGCCTCTTGCTATCAGCCCTCCTCAGAACCATGGCAGCCATAGGTTAAATCGGCTGATTATGAAATTCAAACTCTCTAATTACCCACAGCTCTAAGACTTTCCTTGAAAGCTTTAGAGAAGCCCGTCAGGATGGCTCACGCCTGTAATCTCAGCCCTTTGGTGAAGCCGTAGGCGAGAGGATTGCTTAATGCCCGGAGTTCGAGACTAGTCTGGGCAACACAGCGAGACCTCGTCCCTACCAAAAAAAAAAGGGGGGGCAGGGGATGGGGATGGGGTGAGGGAGGTTAGCAAATAATGGTTCCCAGGGCTTGGAATTACACAGCCTTGGGTTCAAGTCCCAGCTTTGCCCCTTGCTTGATTTATGTTCTTGTGCCCTTTATGAGCCTCAGTTTCCCCACTGGAGACTGGAAAAAGATCTTGGAGTCTCTGCTTCTAGAATGGAAAGGTCGATACGGAGAGAAGAGTGTGGGAGCCTCGTTTGGAGAGGAACAGGACAATTCGGAGGCAGGGGCTGGGAGGCAGGGGCTTGGGAGACCCATTTGCAGAGAGAGGGCCCCGGCCGCGCACTCCCAGGCGTCCCTCAGACCTTAGACTGCAACCCCCTTCTCCGCCTTGAGCCAGGCCCCATCCTCCCGCAACCTCGGTGCACCACCAAAGGGGCGGGGTTGTTGCTCCCAGAGCCCGCCTCCACTCCGGAACTGCCGCTTCTGATTGGGCTTGTAACTAGGCCAGGTCAATCCGCAGCTGCGATAGGCCGAAGTGCCCGCCCGTCGGCACATGGCTCCGCCTACTCGGGGGAGGAACTTAAAGGGCCGGCTCTTTCCGCGGCCGCGGGATGCCCCTGTGCTGACCGCCGGGGGCCGGTGCCCGCCCGCGTAGACGCACCCGGCCTGACCCCAAGCCACCATGTAAACGGCGCCAGCAGGCGGATGCTGGCTTCTCCGCCTGGGACCCCTCCGCCCCTACCCGGGCCCCGCGGCCCTCGATGAGGTGAGCGGGGAGCGGGCCCCAAAAGGAGAGATCGAAGCCCCGGGGCCTCCACTTCGGAGGAGTGGTGTCCACCAACCCCGCGTTTGGGCTCCTAGGAAGCCACGGAGCCCCAGTGGGCTCGACCCCGCTGCAGGAATGACGAACACCTGGAAGGCGGGGGCCAGGGGCGGGGAAGCGGGACTGGGGTGGCGCCTGTGCGTTGCCCTCTGCAATCCGGGATTAGGGCCCCACTCGAGGTGCGGGGCACAGTCTGCTTCTCCTCCAGTATGTCTGGGGCCACTGCGGGCTCAGTCTCGGGCGTGCTTTACCTTAGCGGCGCCCAACCTGGGGTGGGGGGCAGGCAGGCAGTTGGCCCCATCTCCAGGCCCTAGACACCTAGACAATGGGGGTGCACTGCTCGGGTATCCCCCCTTAGGTTATGTAACCGCCTGTGGTTGCCATGGACACGGGGGCGGGGGTGGCCCAAGGAGTGGGATGGAGGCTTGGAGGCCCCCAGCCAGGGCCTTGCCTTTCCCATCCTCTTCTCCACCTCCGAGGACTTGTGTAGCAGATCCCCAGAATCCAGAGTGCCAAGGAGGAAGTTCAGAGTCTAGCTTCCTCTCAGAGTATCTGGGTCTCAGCTTGGCCCTCTATGAAACAGACCCCGGCTCACCCCGGTCTAGAGGAACTAAGCAAGGCTTTCTGTGGCTCAATTCCCAACCCCCTCTCCCAGGGCCTCATCTTTCAGGAGTCAGATTCAGAGCCAGGAGTCTCACTGGGGGCTCACCAAAGATTTGCACATTTTAGATGCCTCAGGAGGCCATGGGGATAGGTGAGTTAGTGAGTGTATACCTGGATGAGTTAGTGAGTGAGTGCATACCTGAATGAGTAAGTTAGTGTATACCTGAATGAATGAGTTAGTGTATACCTGAATGAATGACTTAGGAGGCCATAAATGGTATAAACTCCAGCTTGTGGGGAGGGGGTGTCTTCAGGCTGGTCCATGTTTGCCAGAATGTCCCCTTCTCCAGGAACATCCCCCACCAGACCCCACCACCTTCCCTGTGGACACCCTATGGGGTAAGCCATAGCCACCTCTTTCTCTCTGAGGATAGACTAGGTGGCCCAGGAGGGTGTCTGACTACCACAAAGGCACTGCCCAGACAAAACATCTCAGGGCAGGATGGCTCACACCTGTAATCCCAGCACTTTGGGAGGCCGAGGCAGGCGGAACATTTGAGGTCAGGAGTTCAAGACCAGCCTGGCCAACATGGTGAAACCCCATCTCTACAGAAAATACAAAAATTAGCTAGACATGGTGGCACCTGCCTGTAATCCCAGCTACTGAGGAAGCTGAGGCAGGAGAATCGCTTGAACCCAGGCGGGGGAGGTTGCAGTAAGCCGAGATACTGCCACTGCACTCCAGCCTGGATGACAAAGTGAGACTGTCTGAAACACACACACAGACACACACACACACACACACACACACACACACACACCCCTCAGTGCCATGGCTCACTTGCTCTGGCGCTCCCCAAACTGGAGTCTACAAGGGTTCTGCTAAGGCTCAGGGAGTGCATGCTGCAGGGTAGAGGGTTCTCATTGAGACAGCACCTGAACTGGCTGCTGTCCCCACTCACAGGACACACCATGCTGACCGGGGTGACCGACGGTATCTTCTGTTGCCTGTTGGGCACGCCCCCCAACGCCGTGGGGCCATTGGAGAGCGTCGAGTCCAGCGATGGCTACACCTTTGTAGAGGTCAAGCCCGGCCGCGTGCTGCGAGTGAAGCATGCAGGACCCGCCCCGGCCGCTGCCGCACCTCCGCCATTATCCGCATCCTCGGATGCAGCCCAGGGGGACCTTTCTGGCTTGGTCCGCTGTCAGCGCCGGATCACCGTGTACCGCAATGGGCGGTTGCTGGTGGAAAACCTGGGCCGAGCCCCTCGAGCCGACCTCCTGCACGGGCAGAATGGCTCTGGGGAGCCGCCGGCCGCCCTGGAGGTGGAGCTG